TGTCTCTCTTCTTCTCTCTCTCTCTCTCTGTCTCTCTCACATGTGAGAGAGACAGAGGTTTTAATTTCAGAGGTTTTAATTTCATTTATTCCGTGAATGAGTCAAATGATTTTTAGACTCATTGTTAATTATTTTTCCTATTAATATTTATAGTTTACAACATGTCAGAAAGAGAATGATCTTCAAATGCTTCTTGTGTCTGACCAACATCAGAAAGTGTCAGGTGAATGGTTATTGTCTAAAGACAAATAATTAAGGGATTCTGAAAATGGTTGTTGATGACCTTTGGGTTGAGCAACATATTCCCTTAAGCTGATTACTACTCATCTGTACTCTCAGCGATCACTTTATTAGGAACACCACACCAACAGTGGGTAGTTCCTCAGTTCATGTCATGGATCCACAGATGTTGAAACGTTCCTCTGAGACATAATAATTACATCCTGCTTCCAGAAGATGGAGCTGTTTTCCACCAAATAACTCAGGACCCTCTTTACGCCTGACTTTACTATGACATTTTACTGACATTTTCATACCTTTCTACTATTATATTTTTTTTATCACAATTTTATACCTAACTTAACTATGATGTTTTTATGCCTTACCATACTATGACCTTTGACATATATATGACATATATATCAAGAGTGATGTGTTATGTGTGATAAGAGGATATATTATTATGACATGTATACATCGCATCGTCTGGATATGAAGATATACGTTAATAACATTTATGAAATAACCATAGTAAAATGCAACTTAATTTAAACAACATTCTTATTAAAATTCTATACATTTTTGTTTATGATTTTTTAAAATATTTTCTTATTAAATTCAAACATACATGTCTATCTTTTATATTTACATATATAATATGAACATATACTGACAGGCTTTGGGATGGATATACAGTATATTCATGTAACACATGTCTGTAATATAAACAGACATACTAAAATACATGTTTCTATTTGCTAGACTTACATTTTGGTATATGATATTTTCCAATTTCTAACAGGTTTCATATGTAATTTTTACATATGTAGGATATACTTTAAATACATATATGATTATACTTCATATGTACATATATTTCATATATGGAAATTCAACTCATGTACATATGGTACATATTTGTGTAGTGGCTTTACTGAATGTAAATTCAGATTTCACATGTCAATAAACTGTTTGGTTGACAGTATTAAAAGGTCAATCTCTTAGTTTTGGAAGGGGGTGGGAGGGGTTGTTGCGTCCCTACCAATGTTCAGACCAAACCTCCGTCCTTGCTGAGCTCAGTCTGTTCTGAGGGGAGGAACCTGACGAGCCTCTGGCCAGAGGAAAACCTGCTGCTGCAAACATCAGTGTTTATTCAGTCCAACACGTTACAGGCTGATACATGTTTGTCTTATACAATACACAATACAAACCTGCTCTGAGACGTCTGTGCGACGTCCACAATGTATAAGGTGTTTTAAAATAACTCCTTTCCTGTCTCTCTGTTGAGTCTCTGTCATGGAGGATTTCTCTGTGTTCCATCATCTATAACCTGCAGTTTGATGTGACGAGTTCAATGTGAGTGAAAACAACAAAACAGAAACATGAGACCAGAGGGAAACAGCCATCAAACTTTTTCTGTATTTAACTGTTATCAAGACACAATAATAACTGAAACTATTCTCCTTCATGTAATTAAATATGTCCCTCCTGTGTGTGTGTGTGTGTGTGTGTGTGTGCGTGCGTGCGTGCGTGCGTGCGTGCGTGCGTGCGTGCGTGCGTGCGTGCGTGCGTGCGTGTGTGTGTTTACAGCTGTTCCTGATCCTGGTAATAAATGAGTCCAAACCTATTTGTGAGAGAAAAGAGCAGCCAAGGCTGGAGGGTGTATTATACACTGTGTGTGTGTGTGTGTGTGTGTGTGTGTGTGCGCTCCTGAGTCCACTGTGCAAGCAGGAAGTGGAGTTGCTTTATTTTTCATCATCTTTTCCTGCTCTTTGAAGAAAAACAGCTGAAACACATTCTCACACCTTCAGCTGTTTTAAAACCAGGAAGTGAAAATCATCATGTTCAAGAACCACCTTCATCAAACTCTGAGCTTCTGCCTTCAGAGGCCCGGGGCCCAGAGGGGACCAGGACCTCCTAAACGGAAACCTGCTGACTGTTCTTGGATTCTTTAGTGTCTTCTTAAACTGACCCTCAGACCCTGTCCAGGTCCAGGTGAACAGGATTTAGAGCGATGGTCTACTCTACCACCAGCAATGACTGGTTCCAACTAAATAACATTTATTTCAACCCTATGCCAGCAGCTGGTGACACAGGGATGAGTACTATTGATCACTATGCTTTGTATCATCTCTTACTGTGGAACTGCACTCAGCAAACACACACACAGACACACACACAGACACACACACACACACACACACCTCAGGGAATAATAATGGTGACACACTTCCTCTCTTTGTGATGTCTACTCTGGTCTCTGAGAACAGCCCAGGGGCATTGTGGGTCTTGGAGTCTCCGAGAGCTAAAGAAACTAACTGGAAAAATAATGTGTAAAACAGACTGATGGTTCTGGTTCAGAGTGTAGAGAAGACTTCACCAGGTAAACATGGAAGTACCTGCATGTGTTGAATGGCTGTAAGCTCACCTGTGGCTCCACTCAGGTGTAGTGAGGTGGACAGTTAAACACAGGCTCTGTGGGGAGATAAACTATAGACTCAGATCACTTGAGCATGTATTTCCCTGTTAGGTCAGCAGGTTAAGTTCAGTAGCTGTTGCTCACACATCATTAGATTGTTTAAACCTGGTCTGTTCTGTGACCACATGATTTATTTCAGGGTGCCTGCATCACAGTTTAAACTTTTGATCTTGAGACAGACTGACAAACTGCTTCAGGTTTTGCTCCAAAGTTCACTGCGACTCCAGGATGAAGTGATTATATCTTCAGGTTGATGTTGCCACTGTCTGTATATGAGATCCCATTATCTGCTGCAGAAAAAATGGAAAGATTAGCTAGCTTTTACATTAGGAAGTGGCTAGGTGTTCCTAGATGTTTAAGTACGGTGGCACTGTATGGGAAAGGCATACTTCAGCTCCCAGTAACTAGTCTAGTGGAGGAGTTTAAATGTACTAAGGTTAGGACAGAGCTCCTGTTATCTGGGAGTAAAGATGTGGTAGTCAGTAAGGTGGTTCCAAACCCAATCAAGGGGAGAAAGTGGAATCCAAGAATGGCAGTGCAGGAGGCAGAAGCAACGCTCAGGCATACAGAGATTGTGGGTAATGTCCAAATAGGCCGGGGAGGCTTGGGGCTTGGCCCAGGCAAACCGGTGTGGAGTAGAGCAGGTCCCAAGGAAAAGAGAAAGCTAGTGGTGGAACAGGTTCGTAGACAGGAGGAAATGTTAAGGGGTGCAAAGGCAGTGGCTCAGGCTAAGCAGGGACAGTGGTTAAATTGGGAAGGTGTAGATAAGAAAAAGCTTAGCTGGAAAGAGCTGTGGAGTATGGAGGAAAGTAGCATTAGATTCTTGATAGGGGCAACATATGATGTATTGCCAACTCCCCAGAACCTAAAACTCTGGGTAAATGGAGACCCGCTATGTTCATTGTGTTCAGGTACTGCAACTTTAAAGCACATTTTGTCAGGCTGTAAGGTTAGTCTGTCGCAAGGCCGGTATACGTGGCGACATAACCAGGTTTTAAAAAGCTTAGCTGCAGGAATTGAAGACTTACGGAGGCAGGCAAATTTAGGAGGGTCTAAAATAAAGAGAGTTGCAATCAAGTTTGTTCAAGAGGGAGAGAAAGTTGGTAAGACAGCAAGGAGGCAAGGCAGCTTAGAGGATGCTTGTGATTGGGAAATGCAGGTAGATTTAGGAGGAAAGCTTGTTGTTCCCCAGGAAATAGCCAGTACAAAGTTAAGGCCTGACATAGTCTTGTGGTCTAGGAGTAGAATGAAAGTATATTTCATA